TCATGCAATATTGAACGAGTATAGCTGCGTTTAAACTAATTGAATAACCATTTTTTTACTCAAGTTTAAACGCAGCTTTCTCGGTCAGTGTGCATGAGGGTGTTGATGGGGTATATCGTGAGTCATATACTAAAACTGTCTGTACCAGTGTAGGTAGTACCAATGTACAAATGCAGTGCTGAGTGGTTATATTTCTACCTTATAGGAACTAGATATATCGTGAGTCGTCATTCACTCAATTTCGGTTATCGTCAGTCGTGAAAACACTAAAAAATTACCGTGAAACGTGAGGAAAAAAGTACTGTTTATCGTTTCAGAACATTTTTCAAAGATTTACCGTTAAATATACCAAAATGTTACGGTATTGTTACCGTTAAAATACCAAAAATTTTACTGTTTACTGATTTTCAGACCCCCCATCTAGACCCTCTTGCATGAAAATGCACAGGGCGTATATCAAAATTTAACTTAGACAATACTGAATGCAATGCACGTAGTTTACGTGTAATATCTCTTTTAGTTTTTAAGTACTATTTAAAATACGAGCAGCAGTGTTTTATCAGCTATAAAGATACGAGGCGAAGCCGAGTATCTTTAGGTCTGATAAAACACGCACTGCGAATGTTTTAAATTGCCGCAAAAACGATCGATCTAGTAAGTTCATTGGTGAAGTAATTTTCAAAAAATACGTTGTCTAAGTCGAGAAAATCAAAGTTAAAGTTTATGTAAATCAAGGGAAATCTCTATCACATATAAAGATACGACACACTTGATTTTTGATGATTTTTCTTTGTGTTTTCCTCATGAATTATTAATGGTTTTGAAGTTAAAATAAATCAAACAGGGCGACTTCTTTTGCGCCACCCAGTACATAAGCGCCTTGATATAAATTAAAGTAAATTTATATCAGTAACCAATGTGCTATAGTTACAAATTCGATCCATACCTAGAAAGAAAACATTACTGATTTCAGCCCAAATGTTCTCTAAGCTTGAGATTTAATAATTCATTTAGGGTGTTGATTACAAGGCGATGAAATCCAGTCCAGAATTTCAGGCTTACGTGAAACATACAGCAGAGTTAAAGAGAGTTCAACTGGATAGCACGCCTAGACCAGAGAAACTGTCATTCTTTATTAATGTGTATAATGCACTGGTTATACATGCGAATGTGGTGAATGGCCCTCCTGTTAGTCTCTGGCAGAGATACAAGGTACGATTCAAGGGAAAACGGTTTAGAAATGATAAGGGACCGGTCATAAAGTAATTACTAGAGGGAGGTGGAGGATAAATGAAATTTCAAGTACATATTTCCATACCCTCCCAAAAACTTATGGAAAAATGTTCGTAACCCTCTTCAATGTAAGTGAAAATTTTCATACCCCACCCCCTTTCAATCATTAACAGGTTCTAATGGTGTGAACTTGCTATAGCATTGTATCAGATTTGTACTCCAAAAGTTCCAAGGATACTGAATCCTATACTTATCATCTGACATTGAGTCAGACTGAAACATATATACTTTTTGTTTATTTAATAATAATAATAATAATAATAATAGTAAAACAATTCTTTCCAAACTTAAATCTGGGCACAAATACATTCAATATTCAACAATAATTATAATATGTAATTTTTTACCGTACCTTAATAGTTACTAAGATTTTGGTACCCCCTAGAGGTTCTGTTGTTTTTTCGTACCCCCCTCAGAGGTTCTGGGTTTTTTTCGTACCCCCAAAGAATATTCTCCACATCCCCTAGTAAATACTTTATGACCGGTCCCTAAGAGGCAATTTATTTCAATGTTGCGTATTATTTTGCGATGAAAAGTGTTCAAACCAACACACACAAACAGTATCAGAAGAACACCACAAACATCATATTCACCTGAGTACACAACACCAACACATAACAAAATCATATTACTAGATTGCATTGACATCGAAGGGACTAGACTCAGTTCCGAAAGATCACATACTCGAACCGACCTGACCGCGTTGCTCAGTTGGCAGAGCATTGGGCTAGTATTCCAAAGGTCGTAGGTTCGATTCCCACCGTGGCCAGGCATATTTTTCAAGCTTGCCCGGTGTGGATATACACTCAGAGTAACATCACAAGCATAAAAAAGTATCATATCTTGAATAGATTGATGTCGAAGGAACTAGATTCAGTTCCAAAATATCACCGACTTCACCTCGTAGCCCAGTTGGTAGAGCATTGGACCAGTATCCCAAAGGTCGCGGGTTCAATTCCCACCGTAACATCACAAACATCATATTCACCTGAGTACATAACACCATGGATAATAACTGATGGCGTGGTTGAGGCATCCTTTCACTGGGCTGATGGCGTGGTTGGATGCCTCAACCTAGTCTGTGACCTAGTTGAAAACCAAATTCTCAAAAACGGCATGTTTAGCAATAATACAGCTAAACATTTTAGTCAAAGAGCAAATAAATATAACCACGCCATTCTACGATGAAAACTCTAAGTATTCCCAGTCAATTTTAGCAAATATTTCAAGCACTAAACAGTGAAAAATATATCGCAAATTTCGTTAAAATTTGTGACGCCAATTTCGTAGCTACAAATATAAAAAAAATACAAAACAAAGACGAAAAACATTTACCTTGAATACTTTGTCGTGGCTTAGGCATGTTTTTAAAACAATTAGACCAGTTTATGCTTCAATATTACTCTTTTAAAGTGGAAAATATAGCAAAACAACAAAAATGCCGAGAACTTTGGTAATATTCGCAATATGCGTGACGTCACGTTTTTCAACAAGGATGAGGTCAATGACGTCAGAAGTTTCCTATCCAGTTATTTTACAATCCATGATAATACCAATACACACAAAAAGTACCAAAAATATTTTTGGCGTTCCTCTTAAAATTGCTTTGTTTTACCTTTATTTTGTAGTTTAAACGGTTAGCAACCTTTTTAAATGTATCTGGCGGTTGAGAAACACAAACTAATAGTTAAATACCTAATAACTTTACCCCGTGACTTTACCATCTGTATTTTTTTAGTTTTTCAACGTTGTCAGTTATATTATTGGTGGCCATATGTACTCACTACATGACATCGAAAGTGGCATTCTACGTGCTAACCGCAGAGCAGTTGCATCGTTTTTCCGTCCCTTTTCAAAAACCGATCCACGCCTGGCAATAGCGCTTCCCGAACCTGAGCCCATGATACATTTTGCCTTGGTCTGCGGTGCCAAAAGCTGCCCACCTATCAAAACGTACACACCTCAGGTACGCATAGTCGAGTAAATTCTTGAGGTAATATATGAACAACGAGAGCGAGTGTTTCACCGAGATATCCAAACACGAGAAAACAATGTATATCCCGGTGAGACACGAGCTCGAGTTGTTTATATGACTTCTCAAATGAATCGAGACGTAACAGAATGCTTTCGTTTGCTGATTTGAATAGAATTCTTAACCAAGCATAACGTAATTAGGAATTGTATTCAAGTAATTTTGCATGCGTAATTAAGATATTTGATGAAAACACTAGTGACTTTCATCAAGTATCCAAATGGCATCTTGTGATCAAATAGGTGATTATCATTGGCTGAATTGCTCACGAATTATTAATGAATTTGAGAATTATATAGCATGATTACGGCTAGTTCCTCGAGTAGAGGAGAACTGATCACGTGATCGGCTAGTTGTGTTGTTTGTGGCGTCAGATATAACCCAATCCCTATCTCTAAGCCTAATCCTTAATCTAACCCTAACCCTAACCTCAACACTAATCACTATAACTAATTGATGACGTAATCTGTGATGCAAATTCTTCTACCCGAGGAAGTACCATGATTGCATAAATAAACTAACTTTATTTATACTGGATAGCTCTATCAGTTCTAAACTGTTTTCCTTAGTGGTCCAGTAAGGATTATCTTTTATTGAGCCAGTGTTACTACAGGAGGAAACCTAAACTAAACTAACTTTATTTATACTGGATAGCTCTATCAGTTCTAAACTGTTTTCCTTAGTGGTCCAGTAAGGATTATCTTTTATTGAGCCAGTGTTACTACAGGAGGAAACCTAAACTAAACTAACTTTATTTATACTGGATAGCTCTATCAGTTCTAAACTGTTTTCCTTAGTGGTCCAGTAAGGATTATCTTTTATTGAGCCAGTGTTACTACAGGAGGAAACCTAAACTAAACTAACTTTATTTATACTGGATAGCTCTATCAGTTCTAAACTGTTTTCCTTAGTGGTCCAGTAAGGATTATCTTTTATTGAGCCAGTGTTACTACAGGAGGAAACCTAAACTAAACTAACTTTATTTATACTGGATAGCTCTATCAGTTCTAAACTGTTTTCCTTAGTGGTCCAGTAAGGATTATCTTTTATTGAGCCAGTGTTACTACAGGAGGAAACCTAAACTAAACTAACTTTATTTATACTGGATAGCTCTATCAGTTCTAAACTGTTTTCCTTAGTGGTCCAGTAAGGATTATCTTTTATTGAGCCAGTGTTACTACAGGAGGAAACCTAAACTAAACTAACTTTATTTATACTGGATAGCTCTATCAGTTCTAAACTGTTTTCCTTAGTGGTCCAGTAAGGATTATCTTTTATTGAGCCAGTGTTACTACAGGAGGAAACCTAAACTAAA